AGCCGCATGGGACTAGGTAGGTCATCTTCCTCTGTGCTTTCTCTTAAGGACACTCGCTGCTGGAGATCAGCATCATCTGCCCATTTGTCCTGGTCCCAGGGAGGGGTGTTAGGTTGGTATTTCGATTATAATGCCTGGCGAGGATTCCGTTGGTGAATGAGTCAGCAGTCGACAGGGCAAAGCCAGCCAGGCCACAGTGGTTTTACCTGAGACCCCCAGGCAGACATTTAAGATTTCTGTAAACAGCCAGCACCTCCAAAGTCACAGGACTTACAGGCTCTGGTGTCATCTGCAAGGTTCTTCATTAGCTCCAGAGACTAAGGTCCAGTGAGCACCTGCCATCTGCCAGAGGCCATGAGGGGTGCTGAACCTGCAGCGTCACACCTGAGCTTCACAAGGGTCTCGTTTCACTTGGGGTCCTTTGACTCAGGGAAGTCAAGGATCTCTCTGCAGGTGGTAGTCAAACTGCTTATGTCAAAGGTCATGAAAAACCTACTTGGGCTCGTTGTCTGAGCTCACTGAAATTTTCATTTACCTTCCAAGCCTCCTTTTCCATTGAAAAAGCCACTCTATCACCTACAAACCTACCTTCGTTTGAGGCTAGACTCCAACATATGACTCCTATCTCAGCCTCCCCAAGTGCCGGGATTACAAGTGTGTACCATCACTCCCCGCTATAGACTTTAACTAGTTTGAGTATCTTTCTAAATATTTAATAACAACAACAAAAACAACAAAACCAGGGATGTGGGCAGCTCTGCAAACCACCAGCTTGCATGAGCCCTGAGCACTTTCTGAAGCCCTCTGACCCTCTAGGACTCCAGAGACCAAAGTCTCATTGCTTGAGAACAGGGCCTGGCTACAAAAAAGGCTTGACTCTTCCACTTTAGAGCTTGGGAGGTGAGATGGAAGAGAATTATTGAGAAAAAAAGCACTTACTGAGATTTTTCTATGGAGAAGTCCCAGCATCCTCTTTAATTGGTTTGGGGTTCTGATAGTGAAGGACCTCTGGGAAACAGATCATCGAGTGGCTCCTTGTACTGACTGGGACTTGCCTTCAGGGGTGGGGGCTGTGTTGGGGGCTATCTGATGCTTCTTAGGGAGCGAGGTGGCAGACGTTTATTGAGCATTGACTTTGAGCCCAGTGGCTATGTGTTTGCTTTCCTTAGTAATCCAGGTAACAGAGGTACAGAGAGGTAAGCACTTCTGTGGCTATCACTCCACTCCACTCCAAGCTGCCATTTCTGTCCTCTGACACCATGCTGTCCTCTCACCTGGCCCCAGCTGCTTCCCTGCAGTCCAGGTGTGTTTTTCTAGCTTCTCCTTGCTTCTCTGTGGTCCCGGGAGAAAGGTCAAAGTCCCTAAGGTCAGGCCCTGTCCCACCAATGCCCCCTCTACCCCTGAGGCACGTTGTGTGTTGCTTCCTCTGCCTGCAGGGGCTTCTCCAGACAGACAACCCCATAATCCCACACGCGCAGGTGGACTTGCATGTCCCGCAGAGGCATACGCACCACCTCCAGTTTCACGCTCGGGCTCAGTCTCTGCTTCATTGTCACCTTCTCACTGAGGCCCCTGGACAGCTCCACACCCCCACAATCTTAGCTGGTTCCTCCGCTTACACCTCTAGTGGTGCCCTGTAGTACCTCTTAAACTGTCGCCATGCGCAACTGTCATTCTGCAGCTATCTGCATGTGTGTGATAGCCTCCCGTGTCTCCCGTCAGCACTCAGGCTCCTGGAGGGCAGCCTGAATTTGCTTTCTATGCCGTTCCATGGCTGGTACCCGGCTCAGGACTGAGTGAAGGCTATGCTATCTAGGCAGCAAGCACCCAAACTGGGTTCTTTGATTGACTGACTGATTGAGCGACTGATTTTCTAAGACAGGGTCTCACTAGGTTGCCCCAGGTGGCCTCAAACTTGTGGTCCTCCTGCCTTAGCCTTCCAAGGGCTGGGATTACAAATGTGCACCATCATGCTTGGCTGGATTCATTCTTGCTCTGCTTGTAAGCTCCAAAAAACGCTGCTAACTACACTTCTTACATCAGCCATCCAGCTCTTAGCACCCAGCTGTGTTTGCCTTTGCGGCTCAGGATCCAGAGCTGACTCTGATAGGTCTTTAGCATCAACTTTGCCCCCTGCTTGAGCATCAGGGCCACTCCAGGTGCCTCTGGAGCTGAGGGAGCATTTTATTATGTTATGAACAAAGGACAAGAGCGTCCTTCCTCTGAATCCTGTGCTGGGGCCCAGTACCCAACTGCTGCACAGAAGGGATGGTGGCAGTACTTCTCCAGGGATGGCAGCCAAAGCATCATCGGTTAAGAAGCATGTTTTTTCAACTAGGTCAGCTGAGCAGAAAAGGTCAAAGAAGGGACACTCCCTCTTCTCAGGTGCACATGTTGGGGGAAGACAGAAGTATGCTCTGGACATGAGTCCGGGCTGCTTCTGCCACTTTCCAACACTGCTCTATGTGTCCCCTGCCCAGCCCATGTTGGCATTCCCCAGTGCACATTCCACACCCACAGCTGTGGGGTTTTCCAGACTCTTCTGTTTCTTCACTGAGGCATTGTGGTTTTGTTTTGCTCCCTTTTGGAAGGGAATAAGCACCAGGTGTCTGATGAGGTTAGTGGGTGAAGCTGGTAAAAGCCATGGCTGCAAGGTGGGCATGCACAGCGGTCATGCATCCTTTGATACTGCTTTCTGCACTCTCCTCTCTGCTGTGGCCTATTCTCTAACACCATCCTGGCACAGTGGCACCCTCTGTACACAGGGAGAGAGATTTACAGGCCCAGAAGACAGCCTCCTTTTGCAGGACCAAGGGTCTAAATTTGAGAATAGCAAAAGAATGTACTTCAGCCTTGGAGAGGATGGTGCCAGCCCCTCCCTGGGGGTCTGTCAGTGTGTCACGTCAACACGGAGCTTGGACTTCCTCTTGGGCCACTTCACTTGGACAGACTTTTCTCTTAAGTTAGGATATCCCCACTGTGACCCTACTGACATTCTGGACAGGATGATTCTGGGAGGTGGGGACCGTCCAGTGCATCAGAGGATGCAGAGCAGCCTCCCTGGCCTCTACACACTAGATGCCAGGAGCAGCCCCCTTACCAGTTTTGTCAACCCAAAATGTCCCAGCTACTGCCATGGTCCCATTAGGAGTAAAAGCACCACTAGCAGAAAATCAATGTGCTAAGGAGGGAGTCCCTAGGGGTGGCACAGGCTCCCTGTGTCCTGGCACAGTGAGCTGATGCCCCTGGGTATCCTCTGCCTGCTGCCTGGATGGCACCCCATGCGGAGAGCAGAAACCCAGCAGGGCGAGCTGCTCATACTGGGGGACCCAGGACTGCAGTGTAGGTGATAAACTCCAGGAGGAAGTCCTGGGCCAGATCCTCAGCTCTGTCGCCTGCTCCCGTGGGACCCAGAAAGTGCTGCCCTCCTTCTGTCACCTGCCACGTCCATGACATACGGACTGAAGATGGTGATATCATTCCTGGACTCTGTGACAGCCAAGCACCAATAAATGTGGCCCGTGACTACTGCTTTTACTGAAGTCTAGCCAAAGTCTACAGCTCAGTGCTACCCCTCACCCCAAACTATGGGCACAAGGGGTGGCCTTGAGTCCCTGCTCAACAAAATCCTTCAGTTTTGTCTTTGTCTTGGGGTTATAGGGGTTGAATTTTGAGACTCACACTGAGCTACATCCCCAATCGTTTTAGTTATGATGATGATGATGATGATGATGATAGTGATGTTATTCCAGGGCCTTCACACTGACTTACATTGCCAGCCCTTTTAAAATTTTTTATTTTAAGGCAGGGTCTCACTAAGTTGCTGAGTTGCCCAGACTGAGCTCAAACTCACGGCCCCCCAGCCTCAGCTTCCCAGAGTGCCGAGATTACAGACATGTACCGCCATCCCCAGCTAACGAAGTTTTTTAAAGGGAGCTTTGGATCACGCAACAGGCACACAATCAATGACAGCTGGGGATTTCTGGCTCAAAGTTGGTTCCAAGGGGCCCTCAATCCTCTGAACTGTTCCGTTGAGCTATGGCTTCAAGGCACCTTGTGAAGTGGCAGCCTAGCCCACTGCCCACCCTGGAGACCCTGGGGGTCCTGTACAGCTCCCGCTCTCCCAGGGGCCACAGTCCACTGCTGTGCGGGACAGGAAGTGAGCTGTGTGGGCTCCCGCCCCTGCCCTGCCCGTCACCAGCTCTCCTGATCTTCTTATCCTCCTCTGTAGAATATGGACTGTAAGAGCACGAAGCTTCCAGCGACTTTGTGAGAGGGTGACATGAAGGAGATCACACGAAAAGCTCTTAGCCCAGGTGCATGCCTAGCACTAACTGCCGGCATTGTTGTTATTAATTTAATGGTACCAGAGGGAAGAAATGGGAAAGCATGTGGGTGTGCGCTCTCCCCTCCCAGGCCCTCGGGGCAGGGGTTTGCACAGGCTCTGAGGCCTCTGCTGCGGCTGCATAGAAAGGCACTCGGGACAGACTTGCTGTTCCCGATTTCGAGGTGGATGAGGCGGGTGGGAAGGGAGGAGAAAAACCCTTTCCCCTCTTCCGGGATTCCCGGGGCCTGTGTGCCCCCGAGCCTAGGCTAAGGTTGTGAGCTTCCACGGAAAGAGCTGGCTTGGAGGCCATGAGAAGCGGAAGCCAAGGGGACAGCTAGGATCAGAACTGAAGGCTGCATGGCCTTCCGTGGAGTGGGCCTCTTGTGGTGCCAGTGCAGGGACCAGCCCTGCCACTTTTCCTTCTATGAGGGGTTACACAGGACCAGGCTCCAGCGTGGACCAGTGATTTGTAGGGTGGGGGTGGTCAGTGCCCGGATGTGACCCCCACAATCATGCTTTGAGGGAAAGCTCAGCTCCCCACTTGTAAGGTGAGACCAGGGCAGTACCAGGAAGGCACAGGAAGGACACACAGGGACGGCGCTGCAGCCGAGGCCAACCTAGGCTGACTTCTCTTCATCGCCCCCTTCTTCTTCCCCTTCCCCGGCGTCGTCTCCTTCCACCTCCTCATCTGTCTCCGAGCTTTGTTTCTTTTGCTGAGGAAAAACAGGAATAATGTTGGTAAGGGGCAGGGCTTCTGCGTTCCACAGGTGTGAACCCCACAAGGCTGAATGCGCCAGCTGCCTGAAGCCCGGAGAGCTAAGCGCCCTGATGGTACCAGGTCCAGGCTGGCGAGAGTTAAGAGGATGATCAGCGCCAGCGGGCAGAAAGTGGGCAGGGCCAAGGGAATGGGACAGTGTAGACTGCGTGACCTTGGGCCAGCTGCTCCTGGGCTCCCAGGCACCTTTCCCCATAAGCAGACATGACACAGTGCAGGACTGGGCTTGGATCAGAGTCACTGGGCATAAAGGGTGCTTTCAAATCCACTGCGCAGGAGAGGAGGAGGTATGTGGCAGACAGCAGGGGCCAGAGCTTCTGAGGCTCAACTTCCTCATTTAGAATGTTTGAGCTGATGTAGCTCAGCAGTACAGCACTTGCCTACCATGTGCAAGGCCCTGGGTTTCATTCCCAGCACTGCAAAATAAAATAGTATAAAGCTCCAAGCGGTTGTGAGCACCACATTTTGGGAGGCAAGGCACCAAGCACACTGCCTGCAGGCCACATCACACCACAAAATGTGGCTAAGGTCACCTTCGACTTCTGAAGGGCTGGCTAGGCCAGGGGTGATGGGTGGGAGGAACCCTGGGCTGCCCTGAGCCAGGACTCTAGTCTCGCCTCTGCACCACTGGCACCGTTCAAAGAGTGTGGGAATAAAGCAGCTACTATCCTAGTATTTCCAATGCAAAAAGCACCACAAAACCACACCCTGTCCTTAGGACCAAACGGAGGTACAGGAGGGATCACCAGGGGAGCTAGCATCTCTTCTGGACCCTTTACCCCACTCAGTGACCAAGAACATGCCCTACCACTCATCCCCAAAGCAGGGCTGGCTTCATGGGGGACTGTCCCATGCAGCCACCCAGGGCCAGTGCTTAGAAAGGCACACACTTGCTGTAAGCCGTGCTGTCCTCATTTGGAAATTTTAAGTTTTAAAAAAGAGCCCCATGTTTTTATTTTGTACCCCCTTCCTCATTATGCAACCGGTCCTGTTTACAAAGGTGGATCCTGGAGTACCCTGGCTTGGTCATTTCCCTGCTGTGGTGATCTTTAAGCTGTGTGTCCCCAGCCCTTTGTAAGTTGCCCAGGCTGGGATCCAACTTGCAGTCCACCTGCTTCAGCCTCCTAACGTGCTGGGATGAACCACCCCACCTCACTCCATCTTGGCATCTTATCTGTGCATCCCCAAGGATAATGACACAGATGGACACGGTCTTTTCTTCCTCTGCCTTTTGGAATGCAAGAGGACCCAGAAGGTGACAGACACCATCATCACAGCTTGATCCCCTCACTTTCTAGATGTGAAATGAGGAACTGAGAGGTGACAGATGCCAGCCCGGCTGGTATAGCTAGACGGCGCTATAGAACCAGGGCCATGGGCAGAGGGACTAACCAAAGTCATACTCCTGACACCAGGCTGGGAACTGAGAGAGGGGCACCCAGGCAAGTGCTATAGCCCTGTCCTCCCCGGACCGCAAGGCTCTCACTCCTTGCATAGCTCACTTATCCCCAGGGCCCTCATCCACCTGCCAAGGATGCGGCAGCAGCACACCAGGAGGCAAGGGGCACAGCCCCTGCCCTCGAGGAGCCTGAAGCCTGCTTGGAGACAGGACTCCTTGAGACGCAGTGAGTAAGTCCTCCCACTCTTATGAGGACACCAGGGAGGTCAGCCAGCAGGCGGCATCTGGCTGCATGTGCTCCCCCAGCTCCCAGCCCTCAGCCCAACCAGGTCAGCCAAAGCCCCCACAGGTTTTGCCTTCTTCTGCATGGCCTCTGCCTCCCTCTTCTTCAGCTCTGCGAAGACGATGTCGAAGAACTCCTTCTCAGCATTGGCAACCATCTCTTCCAGGTTTGTGGCCAGCTCCTCGTCCCTCTGGTCGTCGTCCTTGCCCTCCGCCTTGCCCTTCTCCTTCAGCCGCATCTCCTTCTGCCTGGCCTCCAGAATCTTTTCCCGCCGGGTCTCCCGCTCAAATAGCTGGGCCACAGGGAGACAGAGGCCAGTGGAAGGGGTGGGCAGTGAGCGACTCCAGCACACAGCGAGGCTGCTCAGTTCTCCCCGTTCTACTCAAAGAGGTCTAGTGTCAAGAAATAAGGGCTGAATATTGGCATCAGAGGCTGGAGTCAGGATGCCAAGTTACTCCATTCTGAGGAGGACCGAGTATGCAGCCCACAGGGTGGAGAACATCCTTTGTGGGTATACAACATGGTGCCCCAGCGCCCAACAATGACCAGTTCAGGGGTGAGACCGCCCATCTCGGGCAGAGCCAAGAAGCTCTCCCAGACCTCAGCACCAGGGCTTCCCATTCCATGGTGTGCACCTGGTGCTGGGGAGTGTCTGACAGGGCTGCTGGGGAGTGTGGCAAGATATGGGAGTGAGCCTCAGTGTCCCTCCCCCAGGGCAGGTCCTTCCGCCTGTCTTCCCCACTGGCATCTTTGGATGGTTCTGGCGCAAAAAAAAAATTGTGTTGTTTGAAATTGGACACACCACTTGGTTTGCAGCTAGAAAATCAAAGCCTGTGGAGAAAACATGACTTGCCCAAGGCCACTGAGCTGCAGAGCATCGAGCAAGGGCAGGTGAACCCTGCTAACACCCATCCACGGAGCTCGCACTTTAGGACACCCCGCTGCCCCATCAAACACGCGCACCCATTCCCAGGAGGTGCACGGCGGGGCCATGTGTTCATCTGGCTAGGCTGCTCTGAAATGGGACCAGGTCAGGACATGTGCAGCAAGGTCCTTGCTGTGGTGCCAGTACTTACGGAAGAAGCTATGTTCTTCTCATTCCTCTGGAGGGTGGAAAGTCCACTAGAGACTTCCAGCAGGGTAGTCGTCCCCTGCTGGGAGCCACAAGCAATGAGACAGCCGTTGTCCTGCACCCGGAGGCAGAAGAGAGGGTCGTCACACACCTGTTGGACAGTCCAAGCAGACCCAGGGAGGGAGCAAAGTCATGTCATGTTTGTTTAATTAACTGGCATCTGAGGAAGCTTAGCCCCTTTGCCCTGTTCAAACACCCTCCATGAGACCCCCTACACCCCTCAAGGTTACTGGCTCCAGCCTCATCCCCTGCTTTCAGTCCTCATTCCCCTCCACCTTGTGGAATCCCAAGCCTCATGGGCTGCCATGCCTTTGCCAATAGGCAAAGCTGAAAGGCCAGGCATCTGCTTTCTTTTCTGTTTTAATTTTCCAGGGGTAACTCTGCCACATCGCCAGGGTGCCAAGTCCCCTTAACTGCAGGAGCGCAGGCACTCAAGGCAGAACCTGCCGTTGGCCAGAATGTGAATTACCCAGAGAGGCCCTGACACACACATACCTGGCCATGCACAGTGCCGCACACATGCTCACACGACACCACACTCACACCTAGCCCCATGCCCATACGGGGCTGGCTTAAAAGCATGCGCAGGGGGATGCACGTGACCTTCAGGCTGAGGGCAGGGTCAGAATGCTTGAACACAAAGTCCCAGATGTCCAGAGTCCCGTCCATCTTGGTGGTGAAGAACACCGCGGGCCGCACGGGGCTCCAGGCACCATCCGTGAGATAAGCCATGTGGTACCTGTGGGAGCCCATTCCTCAGGTCACATCTTCCTTCTGTTTAGCTTCCAGCCTTAGGTCTCTGGACATAGTGCTTCCCGTGGGCCCAGCCCTGGACACATGGAAGCAGTCAGAAGAAGGGGGTGTCCAGGAAAGTGTATAACTCTGGTATCAGGAAAGGGTACACTGCCTACTTGGTTTGGATTTCCTAACACTTTGTGAATATTGAACATTAAACACACACACACATGCATGTGTGTGCAGGCAAGTGTAGCCATGCATAGGGACTGAATTTTCCACCAAACTTCATCCTCTACTCCATAGTGGCACAATTATAGCCATGGTGGCCACACCAGAGACTACATTTCCCAGCCTCCTTTGCAACTGTGCGGACAGCTAAGCTACAATGGGAGGGATGATCAATACTGAAGAAACTCTGGAGAATTTTGACAAACAATAAATAATTTTCAGTAGAAGTATATCCCTGATATGGCATGGGAAAATACTTATACTAATAAAATTCATTATTTTTTCTGAAATTCAAATCTAACTAGGGATCCTATATTTTTCTTTGCTAAACTTTACAGATGGACCTACAGAGGCTCTAATCCGACCCCCTCTGAGCCTTTCTGTCCTATTCCCAGCTGGTCCTCTGTCCCTGCCTTACTTGGTCCACATGATGGATGACTCCCGGCTGTCTTCAGACCAGATTCGGGCTGTCCAGTCCCCAACTGTCAGGAAGTTCTTCGGGTAGAACGGGTTTCTCTGGAGGGCGTAGATGGGGCCATGGTGGCCCGAGAAAGTGCACACAATCTTCTCGGCCTGTGTCTTGGCCTTGCGGTTGCAGGAGACGACGATGCCCTGCTCGGTACCCACCATGAACTTGGTTGGCTGTAGAGGGGTGACAGGAGTGGAAGGCGCCATGGAGCACTAACTCTGGGCTTGGCTGGCATAGCCAGCAGCCTGTCCAGGCGTCGGCAGTGCTAACAGACCCCTTGTCTTAAGACTGTACCTCCCACAAAGGAGCTACCCCACTGTTCCCAGCCTCAAAAGACATCCTGCCCCCTGCTTTGGGGACCTTGTTTAATGAAGCCCTTCTTGATTCTTCTGGTCTCCGGAGGACAGCTGGAGCCCCCGTCATGAAGCATCCACTAAGCATTTTGCCCCAAGGATCCTGAATGTTTACAGACCGAGTAAACAAGCCCAGATCTGCATGTGGTGTGGACTTGGTCACTTAGAAGGCAGGCAGAGTCTAATCTGGCTCAGCAGTGACATGAGTCCCAGCACTGTCTACGGAGAACTCAGAGTGGGTGGCCACCCAATACTCAGGAAGTCACCTGGAGCCAGGTGGAAGGGCTGGTTGGGCTGAGGTCCTTAGCGAGAAGTATTAGATGTACAGTAGTTCCAAGCAGGTTCCGGGACACCCTCAGCCTCTGGTACCTGGTGGTCTCTGCAACATCTTAAAGCAGACCGGCACGTTGCCGCTTCAGAGGAGGTGCTGTGGTTGTTGCCTTTGCGTGGAACACTTTTCCCTCAGTCATCTGCTGGTTGAGTTGTCACTGCCTTCTGGGCTTTGCTCACGTCTCACCTTCCCAGGCTGTTCTGCACCTTTTGAACTAACCCCCTGCTCCCAAACAGCCTACTCTGTTCTCTGTTTGTGGCTCCCGCCAACTTCTGGCACAGGGATTTCCTGTGTTTACTGTGCATCCCACAACTAGAAGTCAAGCTCTTTGAGAGCAGAGACATTTGTCTCTGGAATAGTGCCTGGTGGGACTAGGGGTATAGCTCAGTGGCATAAGCGCCTGCCTGGCAAGCGCAAGGTCGTGAGTTCGATCCCTGGTCCCACAGGAAAAAAAAAAAAGACTAGTGCCTGGAGAGTAGGGGCTTGAAAGAAATTTGTGAATAACTTGAAACATGGCTTGAGAAGAATTTCCCCCACCTCCAGGCCCCTCTGATTCCCCCATACCCAACTCCTCTCTGGGAGGGGACATAAAGTCTTGAGAACACCAGCCCGGGAGGTGCACAGCCCCTCCAAAAGTTCTTTCAAAATTGGGTGACAGTGTATACCCGTGTTCATAGCAGAATTGGCCACTATAGCTCAAAGGTGGAAGCAACCTGAGTGTCCCTAGACAGATGAATGGATAAACACAATGTGGTCCATGTGTATAATGGAATAGAATTCAGTCTTCAAAAGGAAGAGAATTCTTCACACATGCTCTAGCATGGATGAACCTTAAGGGCATTATGCAAAGTGCAATAAACCAGTCACAAAAAGACAACTATTCTCTAATTCCACTTATAACAGTTTCCTAAAATAGCCAGATTCAAAGAAACAGAAAGTAGACTGGCGGTTGCCAGGGGCGAAGGTGGAGAGTAACGGGAAGCTGTTGTTGAATGGGAAGAGATTTTCAGTTTTGCAAGATGAGAAATGTTCTGAGACAGGTGTGGTGGTGCACCCCTGTAATCCCAGCACTCTGGGGGTCTGACGCAGATTTGCAAGTTTGAGCCCAGCCTGCTTTAGCCAGACTCTGTCTCAAAATAAAAATAAAAAATAAAAAAGGCCTGGGAATGTAGCTTGGTGTGAAGACCCTGAGTTCAATGCCCCATAGCCCCCCAACACACACCATTCTGGAGATGGATAATGGTGATAGTTGTACAACAATGTGAATATACTTCACACTACTGAACTGAATAAAGTTAAAATGGTCATGTTTGTACATTTTTTTAACTACAATTTAAAAAACACATGCAAGCCAGAGATGTAGCTCAGTGCACAGGCTGTCCATCCTCCTCCCCACACACAGGGAAGGAGGGTGGGAGCGGGGAAGGGAGGGGGAGGGGAGGAAGGGAGGAAGCCCACACACAAATAAACTACAAAGCTGTGTGTCAAAGGCAAATGAAGAGACCAGGCTTCAGGGCTGAGTCATCAGGCAAGCCTCTCAGTGCCTGTACGTAAGCGTTTCTGTTTTTGTTTTTTGGTTTTTCTCCGGTACCGGGAACCGAACTCACAACCTTGCGCTTGCCAGGCAGGTGCTTTTGCCACTGAGCTAAATCCCCAGCCCCACGTAAGTGTTTCTGGAGGAAAGCCATACAGACTCACGAGGCTGTGAACATCTCAAGCCTCAAGCTTCCTAGAGAGGTGGGGGTTTGAGTCCAGCTTCAGCCTGTGCTGGGGCACATAACTTAGCCTCACTGGCACTCATCGTAGATATGTGGAAAGCGGGGATAATAACATTACCTCACGTGGTGGGTGTGCATGATGACACAGGCTTACGCTATGGTATCTACAAGTGTCCTGAAACGTGTGCACTCAGTCAGGGACACGTATGAAGCAGTGAGGACTCGTCACGGTGTGGTCATTACGTCCACCACATGGCCTGAGGTGGCATGCAGGTCGGAATGCTTTTCCAAACCCCCAGCCCCGCCCCAGCCTCCATCCAGCGCCTTGGCCAAGGTTGTGTTGGAGGTTGGTCAACAGAATTACCATCCGCCTCAACCCACCAGCATTCATTCCCCAGCCTTTGATGAGGACACTCAGGCTTGAGCTCCCAACCTCCTAGCAACGATGTCACATGACCCTAAGGCAACAAGTGACACCCCCAACTGGGGACCAGGCCTCAGCTTCAATAAGATATAAACCAGGATCCAGCCCAAGCCAAGATCCAGCTGGAAAAGTCATTTTCTTTTCTTGCATTACAGAGGGAGTTTTCATTTGCTGCTTCTAGAAGCTTCTCCCCTTGGACACATTAACATTACTGCTCAGCGTGGAGATTCCTTCCTTGCTTTCTTAGTTACTAAACTCATGCCTATTCCCTGGTTTTCTAAGGAGCCTCCTCAAATCTCCTTTCCCTCCCCAACACCTTCTTTCTTCCCCGTGGGAAGGAAAGTGACCAGCCCTAGACCCTATGTGAAGCGGGGCCGTCTGGACACTTGTAAGGGCTTTCTGTCCTCCCTTCAGCAGGGTCACAGGCCAAGTAACTGACTTCGGATCAGAATGGCTTCCGTCCTCAGGGAGCTCTGCTGCCCCCTGCTGGAGCGGTGCTAGTAAAGCCCACACAGGTGAAGGAAGGGCCTCCCTGGATCTGGATCTGGAGCCACAAGCATCTGCTCTATTAGCCATAGCCTGTCCTTAGCCTGGCAAGGGAAGTGGAGGAAGGGAGAGCAAGGAACACTCACCAAGGTAGCCTCAAACTCCAGGGAGATAGCCCCTAAGGCATTTTCCAGCTGTTCCTTCTTGGTGATGTCCAGGATTACCACCTCGGTGGGCTCATTGATCTTGCGGATGTCCCACCACATGACCTAGCAGGAAGCAGAGGTGACTCTGAGACCTCGAGGTCTCACAGCTCCCCTGGCTTTTGCCCTTCACCCACCTATGAAAACAAACACATTATGAGAATCACTGCCGGGGGTCACGGGTCCCAAATCTGGCTGATCATCAGCGTCACTGGCAAGCTACCTAAAGTCCAGATGCCGGGGCCTTGCTCCAACCTTAATGAACCCAGATCACCAGGTACCAACCCAAAGTCTGGATTCTTCCAGTCCCCCATATGTAGAAATATCTAGAAATGTGAAAAATGGATATACATTTTGACCTAAAGATCCTACTGCAGGAGTGTGAGCTATAGATGCTCCTGCATGCATGTGCGATAATCTACATACAAATGCACTCTTGCTGCATTTTTTTCTGATAACAAAATACAAAATCTGTTTAAATAAATTATGATATCCCTATACCCTCCAGTCCTCAGCAGGCACTGGGCAGTGGCTTATGAAATGTGAAACTGTCTCTGAGATATGCTAAACGAACCCATCAAGTGCAAAGTGTACAAAAGGAGAGGGTAGAAGAGAGAGAAGTGTTTGCTTCAATAGGCAGAATAGGCAGAGACCACCTGAAGGTGGAGGTAGGGCACTAACTCTACTATGCAGGTAGGAGCAGGGAGGTTGGCCAGACAAGAGAGAAAGGCATTTCACTGTCTGCCCTTCTGCACCTTTCAGATGTTGCTCCATGTGCATGTTTTATCCATTGTTCATGTAAAAATGAAAGATAAAAAGAGCCCTTCCCACAGTAATCCTGATAAGAACCAGCCCTCTCCGCCCTCCGGGGCCTGGCCGGGTGGTACCTGCCCATCCGTGGATGCTGAGAAGCACTCAGTGCCCGTCTTTGACTGCAGCCAGATGGAGCCATACACGGGGTCTCGATGGCTGAACTCAATGGTGGACAGCTCTGCCACCAGGCTGCCCTTCCGGGTGTCCCAGCAGGCTAATAGGGAAGGAGACAAGGAGAAGTGAAAGGGGCTTGGCTCCCTTCCCTCGAGATGGGAACAGGGACAGAGGGGTGTTGCTTCTCTGGGTTTGACAGGTGTGTAGGTTTCTGTAATAGGATTAAATTCAAACCAGCCCCCAAGAAATCTCTAGAGAGACTGGTGTTTTAGAGAGCAAGCTCTTTCCGTTACACCCTTACCGAGTGCTGAGTGTCACCCTGGATCCCAGGGAGCTGCTGGGAACAGGGCAGGCTCCGCCCACCGGGAGGCCGGAGGGAGCTGGCAGGTACAGCCTGGCCTGTGATTCCTCCTGCAGACGGGAGCTGCAGAGGCTAAGCTGAGGGTGAGCCTCAGGATGCAGTGAACCAGGAGGCCCCTTGAGGGGACGACACTGAGGTGAATCTGCCTGTTGATCAACTCCCTCCCTTTTCTCCTCTGCACGTTTGCTGCCTCCAGAAAGATCCCCAGGAGGAGCCTGACTCTCTACCGTGATCTGCTCTAAGTGCTTTGCCAAGAAAGATGTGAAGCTTCTCTGCTTTCTGTGCTGATCGATGTTGTTTTCCTTCCTCCCTGGGGGCACACGGAGGGCCCGCCCCTTAGCGCACAGGCCTTTCCAGGAAGGCTGGTTTTGTGAAACAAAAGAAGTATTTAGTTCGTAAGCTCTCACTTAATATCCCTCAAGTGCACGGCATTTTCTTGTTTTCTTGGCTCAGCTTGCTCTGCTTGGTAATGCACTGGTCCCAGATGCCCCTCCTGGGCCCCTTCTTACGTGGCAGGACCCAAAGCCCTACTGCTCTGAGCCGCGTGAAAAACCACTGAAAGGGGTTATGAATAATGAGTGTGGCAGACTCCTGAATAAATCATGGCAAAGGCGCTGGGGCATTCTTGAGTGCGCTGGCACCCAGGTAATCTGGCAGTGAAATTTACGGGAGCTGGTGTCTAATCCCCAGCCCAGGAGCTCCCTTGGGAGGAGGCAGCAGGTCTGGGAGGGAGATGGGGCCTAAGAAGGCCGACAGTTCCTAAAGTGTTGTAGTGCTGTGAGGATCGGGAGTCTGCATTTCAGGGCTGAGGATACAGGGGAGGCAGATTTCTTCTGATCTCACTGGAATTTTTCTTTTTGAGGCAGGATCTCACTATGGAGCCCAGGCTGGCCTTGAACTTTCGGTGATCCTCCTGCATCAGCCTCCTGAATGCTAGGATTACAGGCGTCTGCCACCACACCCAGCTTCACTAGGAATTTTTTAAAATAAGTTTTCCAGGTGGGCCATCAACAAAAATAGTAGAATAAGGACTTCCCCAGATTCTCCACCATAACAATAAGAAAAGCTGGCTAAAATGATCAGAATCAATTTTTTTCAGAGTTCTGGAAATTAGCCAAAGGGCTACAGCAGTCTGGAGAGTTATTTAAGAAAAATAGTTGAATCCTGGTAGAAACAATGACTCTTGTGGCATTTCAACTTGCCCTGGTTAAGATGTATGCTTTCCAGTTCCATGGTAGCCTAGAAAAGGAATATCCCAGCCTGGTATGATACACACCTGTAATCCTAGGAGGCTGGGAGGCTGAGGCAGGAGGATTGCAAGTTTGAGTCTAGCCTGGGTAATTTAGTGACTTAGTAAGACCCTGCCTCAAAATAAAAAAATAAAAGGGCTGAACCAAGCATGGTTGCACACACCTATCACCCCAGCACTCATCAGGCTAAGGCAGGAGAATCACCATGAGTTCAAGGCCAGTCTGGGTTACAGTGTTAGGTTCAAGGCCAACCTGAACTACATAGTGAGACCTTGACTCAAAAAACCAAAAGGAAATACATAAATGAATTCTAAAAGGCTGGGGATATAGTACAGCGTAAAGACACTGGGCTTGATCCCTAGTACTGAAAAGAAAAGTAACGATCTGCCTTGCTGGTGTAGCCTGGCAGCTACGGCAAGGAGCAGAGGGGACTGGATGAGCTCTTTTCAAATTTTCTTTTGTTCAAAACCAAAATCCTGCTGTTACTTGGCCTGACTGGCAGCTCTTGGAAAGTTGTCTGTATCTGACTTAACTCCGACTTCATTGAGTGCCAAAGTCTCTTCCTTACAGCACAACTGTGGCAACTGAGGCTGTGGATAACAAGTAGGGCAAACAGCAAGCTGGCCGGAAAGCTTCAAAGAGAAAGCTGGAGCAGACGTCCACAGGGGCCTTGAGCAGCTGGGCCTCTAGAGGCCACTTGCCTGGGTCGGTGATGTCACTGCCCAACACTGGCTCACACTCAGGAGAGAGCTGCTACAGGATGCTCCTCCTGACGGCAAGCGGCGCATGCTCTATGCTCTTCTTGGGAGGACAGGTGGGACATTCTCCGGGAGGGACAGTGTGCTAAGCCACAAAAGAAGCCTGATACACGTAAGAGGATGGAAATCATGAAAAGTAGCTTTTCTGACCAAAATGGAATAGAACTTGAAATCAGTAACTAAAGGAAAACTGGAAAATGCCCAAATAGCTGGAAAACAAACAAACACATTCTTAAGAATCAAGAAGGCTGCCGCTGGGTGGTAGAGTTCATGTCTCATATATACGAGGCCCTGGGTTTGATCCTTGGTGCTGCAAAGATGAAAAACCAAAACAAACCAAACAAAAAAAACTGTTCTAACCTTCCACTTTAAGAAATGAGAAAAAGAAGAGCAAACTAACCCCGAGCATACAGAATGAAGGGAGTAATAAAGATTAGAGTGGGGGCTGGGGATTTAGCTCAGTGGCACAGCGCTTGCCTGGCAAGCGCAAGGTCGTGAGTTTGATTCTCGGTACTGGAAAGAACAAAACAAAATAAAACAAAACAAAACAAAAAAAGATTAGAGTGAAAAATAAATGAAACTGAAAATTTTAAAAAGCCTGAGAAAAACAATAAAGCCAAAAGTTGGTTCTTCAAACAAAATTAACAAACATTGAGCTAGACTGACGCAGGGAGGGGAGGGAGGAAGGCAGAAGGCTCAAATTACTAAAACCAGGAACAAAATGAAGACATGACCACCAGCTTTGCAGAAATGGAAATAATTATAAAAGAATACCATGAACAATTATATGTCAACAAATTACATAATCTAGATTAAATGGAAAAGCCCCTAGAAAGACAGAAACTACCAAAATAGATTCAGGAGAAATAGAAAATCTGAAGAGATCTATAGTAAGCAAAGAAATTGAATTAATAATTCTAAAACTTCCCACAGAGAAAACCCCAAGCCAGGCATAGTGATGTGTAAGCCCAGCTACTCAGGAGGCTGAAGCAGGAGGATGGCAAGCGTGAGGCCAGCCTGGGCATCAGTGAGATTCTGACTCAAGATATGAACCGAAAGTGCTGGGGATGTATCTCAGAGCACTTGTGGGTTCAACCCCTAGTACTGAAAAGAAAGAGGTAGAGAGAGGAAGAGAAAGAGAGAGAGAAAGAAGAAAGAAAGAGGAGGAGGAGGAGAAAGAGTAAGAAAAAGAGAAAAAGGCCTGAGACCACATGGTTTTACAGGTGAATTCTTCCAAACACTGAAACAATACAAATTCTTCACAAATTCTTGCAATAAGGGGCTGGGGATTTAGCTCAGCGGCAAAGCACCTGCCTGGCAAGCGCAAGGTCGTGAGTTCGGCTCCTGGTACCGGAGGGAAAAAAAAAAAAAACCCACAAATTCTTGCAATAAAACCTCCTTCCAGCTCCTTCTATGAGGCCAGTATCACCACATCCATTACCGTGTAGGTATCCCCCACACCTCTCCCAGCATGGGAATCCACAGTGGCCTCATCTCTCTTTGGCTGTCCCTAGTTACGTGTTCCTTGCTTCTACTTGAATTATAATTTTTAGGAACTTTTTATTTTGAACTAATGTTAGACTTACTTGAACGATCACAGCTGGGGGCCTCACTGAGCGTCAGCAGAACCCAACTCACAAGCACCCCGGTGGTCAGTGACAGGAAGGCCCACTGCCTTTGTCTGGCAGCGGGGTGAGCACTGGGGTCCCCCTTACCTATCTGTCCATTGTAGCAGCCCCCCAGGAGCACGTGTGAATCTTTGGGGTTATACTCCAAGGTCACCAGTGGAGAAGATGGCTTCAGGGCCATTTCAGGCCTGTTGGGGTTTTCTGTGAAGCAGAAGAAGAAATGGCCCCATCAGGCCTGGACAGAAAAGGACAGGGTCGATAAGCTTAACTCCTGCAGGCAGGTGGGGTGGAAGCCCAGGGCCCTTAAGCCTGAGTCTCGGATGACGGCTTTATTCTGGGGATCAGGATGGGGGTGAGTGTGCATGTTTAATTCCAGGCTTCCCAGGCTTGGCGTGGAAGGAGGTTTTGACCCAAAGGTTTTTATATAAGTCAGTTCTTCACCAACTTCCTCTAACCAGGTCTGCGGCCTGGGTGTCTGGCTGACGTCTACCTGGGTGTCCACCCGTAAGAATGACGTCTAACCGTAAGAATGCTGAGCTGTGTGGGAGAGGGAAGTGCTAGTGCCGAGCTCAGTGCTACCCTGCGTGTAACAACGGGACAGTGAAGGGAAGGCTGGAAGCGCTGCCCTGCCGGGCTCCTGCCCTCACAGCAGGCCCCGTACACTGTGGTCTGGGCCCGCAGGTGGACACACTGCCCCTGCCAACCACAAGTTAAGGACAAGTGGCAGGAACGGTGGGACAGAGCATGCGTTCCCCTCCCTCCCGCTTGGGCCCCTTCTAGTCTGCTAGGCCTCATTCTGATATGCTCTTTAAGGGGCCACGAACTGGGATCCTATGGGCTCTGATCTTAATGCTCCAGGTTAAGAATCAGGAGCTGGGGAGGCCCGGGGGGTAGCTCAGCGATAGAGCACTCGCTGAGCATGTGCGCAGCCCTGGGTTTGGTCCCAAGTACTGCAAGCAGGCAGGAGAAAAGAAGGAGGGAGCCAAGAAGGAAGGAAAGGAGAATCTGGGATTTCCCGCCTCTGCTCCGCTCCTCAGGCCTCGGTGGCCAGCAGGACCCCTCTGCTTCTCACCCAGGTCCCAGATGTATGACTCATGGCTCATGCCCACTGGTGCCCGCTGAAAATCCAAGCAAGAATATGCCACTGCCAACTTCCGGTTGCCATCAGGGTGCCAGGAGAGGTGTGTGGCCGTCCGTTTGATTTCCTGGGGATCCCTTTAAGGGGAGAGCAAGGGAGGCAGGAAACTGGAGGGTGGGGCTCCCCCAATTCCTTATTCTTTAGGTTTTTATCTTTAAAATATTCAAATACATAGAAGTAATCACCTTACTCAAGGAAATCTTTTAAAACAAAGTTGACAAGACTCCCAGTCATAAATAGAAGATAATAATCAAAATGAACACAATGGAAACAAAAAATTAAATTCCAGTCTAACACTTTGATCGACTGAAAGTTTTGAAGCTAGGTGTGGTGGTGCATGCCTGTAATCATTAGTCTTAGGAGGCTGAGGCAGGAGGATTGCAAGTTTGAGCCAGCCTGGGCAATTCAGTGATTTAGTGAGGCCCTGTCTCAAAAGGAAAGTTTTGAAAAGAATTAAGATATGTTACATATATGTATCAACTCCCCTATATTGTGATCACATAATGTATCATTATGTACTGCAGACGAGTACCAATAAGAAAATGAAATTAAATTTAAAAAATAAAAAAAAGCTAGGATGTAGCTTGGTGTGAAGGCCCTCAGTACCATGAAAAAGAAAAAAGGAGAGTTCTGAACCAGCACTCAATCCTTTATGATGAGAATGAAAAGGGGATGGGAGCCAGTCCTTGTTTGCCAGTCCTTGCCTTCCTTGTTTGCTGGAATGATTTAAAAACTTCCGTCCCTACAAAACCCTGTACATGAATATTTATAGCAGCTTTATTCATAATTGCCAAAACTTGGAAGCAACCAAGACACCCCTCAGTAGCTGAGTGGATGAATCCTGGCACATCCAAATAATGGATTATCATTCAACACCAAAAGACACCAGCTATCAAGCCCTGAAAAGACGAGGAAACTTAAGCGCCTATTGTGAAGTAAAAGAAGTCAGATGGAAAAGGTCACATGCTTTCCAGATATGACATCTGGAAAAGATAAAACTGGAGATGATAAAAAGATCAGCCATTGCCAGAGAGGAGGGAGGGAGGGAGGCACAGGCAGAGCACAGAGGATTTTTAAGGCAGTGAAATATTCCATGTAACACTGCAATGGCGGGTACTTGTCATAATGCATTTGTCCCAACCTACAGACTGGACCACCTTAACAGTGAGCCTAGAGGAAACATCCGGGTCTATCCGGTGGGAGTGCTGGTAACTGGGGGGTCTGTGTCTTGGACAGGGAGAAGGGGAGGGGCATGTGGAACTCTGTACTTCCTGCTCAATCTTGCTGTGAGCCTAAAACTGCCTTAAAAACTGTAGTCTGTTAATATTGAAAAGGGGAGGGAGGAGATTAGCCCTGCTCTCCTGCCAAGACTGCAGGATGGCAGCCTGTCTGCCTAGCGTGATGCTGGGTCTCAGTTTGCCGCGCTGTACGTGCCCTGCCCTGCAGGAAGGGACCCTACTGTATATACCTGGGGATCACTCAGCATCTCATCCCTGGAATCTGTACACCCTGCAGGGGTACAGCCCGCCTTGCTGGGCACCAAGCTCTTACTCTGCCCCTTGTCAAGCTTGGACACACAGCACACAGTCCTCCCAGCCTGGGGTGATGAGCAAGGAGCCCGTTTTGTGGGTGACAGTTGGCCAGACACCTGCTCACTACGGAATACCTGAAAACATTGATGGTTTTAGCTGAAGAGGCCTCCTCGGTCACCTCCACTTCTTCCTCATCATCGAAATACTCCTGGTAGATGTCTATGGCATTGTTCTGCTTGATGCAGTGCTCCATGATCTGGGGGTGGGGGAGGCACAGATCAAAAGCTCGGAAGAACAGACACAGGCCCTTCAGACTGAGTAGGGCTTGGCTGGAGTCTGGGAGGGATAAGTGATACCCTAGTGGGCTTCTCTCATTCTATATAGGCCATGCATTTCCTTCCTTCCTTTTTTCCTTCTTTCCTGCCTCTCTCCCTCTCTCTTGAGAGCTAAGGACAGAACTCAGGGCCTTGTACGGGCCAGGCAAGCATCCCACCATGAGCTACACTCCCAGCCATAGCCCATGCACTTTCAACTCAGTTTTGAAAGTAAGATAATATTATATACAAAGCCATGTATATATATATGCACACACACACAACGCATAACCAGACGTACAGTATACCTGTGAGATTCAGATTTCATGAGGGGGGAAGGTGACTAGGAAAAATGTTTATGAAGGCTCTTGGGGAAGGGAAATAATGAAAAAGGCTTAAAAATATTGCTGGAGGGGCTGGGGATTTAGCTCAGCGGCAAAGCGCCTGCCTGGCAAGCGTAAGGTCGTGAGTTCGGTTCCTGGTACCGGAGAAAAACCAAAAAAAATAAAAAATAAATAAAAAAAAAATATTGCTGGAGTCAAGCAGAGTCACTAATCCCCGCATATTACGGCACCTGGGTCCTGCTTCCTGCCCTGCAGACACTGGCATTTCCAGACTAAAGGCCCTGTCCAAATGCTTCCCCTGTTATTTGAGATCCAGCAAGCAAAGGCCAAAGCCAGGGCCATCGCTTCCAAGAAGTCTTCTGTGATCTCTTCGCCAAGAGACGCATTCTCGTGAGGAGGAAAAATGGCAACCCCCCTTCTCTTACAGTATTTCTTCCTTTTCCTGTGATGCGGTCACGTCTTAGCATTTGTCCTCGACTTGCAGTGAGCTGTAAATTCTTTGGGGCAAGATGTGTGTGAGGCTCACTGTTACAGCGTCTACTGTGCCTGGAGGGGACCTGGAGCTCAGCTCAAACTCGAATGCCTAAGTGGTCATGGTTGGCTGCCAGGTAGGACTCCTCTGAGGTTTTCTTCGCCCAGGGGATTTTCCACTTTTTAGTCTCCTACTAAGCCGTGTTCAGCTATGGGCCTGTGTGGTCACAGCCAATCTCCTTACCCCTCATAGCCACAGGAGCCTGTACTGGGCCAGCTGGGGTGTAGCACACCCTCGGGGACCTGGAGTGACAGGGAGGCTCTCACAGCGAGCGGGAGCTGGAGGAGACTCACAAAGCCAAGCTGCATGATGGCATTGATGTAGTTCTCGTCCTTCTCCACTTTCTTCCGGAAGCGGATTGTCTGCTCCAGCTCCAGGGGGTTCACGTCTTTGGGCCAGCCCCCTTCCACGTGGTTAACACCCCGGGTCTCCATCTCGAACCGCTCTGTGTTGGCCTAAACAGAGCCCATGGTGAGAAAACATCTGCTCTGGTATAAGCAGCCAGCCACTTCTGCGAACTGGGATGGGCTGTGAAGCGCCCCGGCCTGAGCCACAAAGCAAGTAATAGTTGGTGCTCAGGCCATCACAGCTGGCCTCACAGCGCCACCTTGTGGAACTAACTGCTCTGCAGTTGAATCCAGAGGTCAGGGAAGCGCCAGGTCTGACCCTCCTGGATTGTAAAGGCTCTGAGGGTCCAATCCTGGGTTCTATGAGATTCCAGAAAATAAAAGGGCACAATTCTGCACCCCACCATAACAATGTCACAGACATAGAACATTAAAAGCAACCCAGGGGGCTGGGGATTTAGCTCAGTGGCAAAGCGCCTGCCTGGCAAGCGCAAGGTCATGAGTTCGATTCCTGGTACTGGAAGAAAAACAAAAACAAAAAAAGCAACCCAGGATGGGTGTGGTGATACATATCTGCCAGCACTTTGTGAGGCCAAGGCAAGAGGATGACAAGTTCAAGGTCAGCCTGGGCAAATTAGTGTGACCCTGTCTTAAAATATTCAGTAGAGGGGCCAGGGATGTAGTTCAGAAGCACAGGGCCTGCCTGGCAAGCTCAAGACCCTAAGTTAGATTCCCAATGCTTAAAAAAAATTAAAATATACAGTAAAAAGGGTTGGAGATATAGCTCAGTGTGAAGGCTTTGAGTTCAAGCCCCAGTGCCCAAAATAAAATTAAATTAGGTTAAAATAAAACTCAATTCGATGGACACTTGTATCCACTGAACTTGGCACTTTGCTTCCTTCCTACTTTTTCCCACTTTAAAAATGGTTGTTTTTATTTTTACCATTTAAAACATTTCAAAGTGTACCATTTGGTGACATTATCATGCACAATGTCATTCAGCCATTACCGCTACCCAGGTCCAAAATTTTCAATACCCCACATGGAAACCACATACTCCGTAAGCAGTCACTCCTTTCTCATTTCCTTTCTTTGCTTTATTTAGGACAAGGCTCACTATGCAGCCCAGGTTGGCCTCCCTAGGGGCTGGGAGCACAGGCACGTGCCACCACACCCAGCATTCCTTTCCGTCTTTAAACCAGCTCTCCAAAGTGGGCCATTTTGCCAAAGTAGGACCGTGACAGGAGAGCCTGTGTGGTATGGCCTCTGTGGCCGCCATTTTGCTTGTGGTTATGGCAGGGTAACTTTGTCCTTCTCACAGACAGTAATTAGGCTGGAAGGGCAAGAAAGGAATTTGAACATCAAATCACCCAATCCATCCATCCCCATGCAATTGTGGGCTAAATTTGGCTAAATCAAATGTAAACTCCCTCAGGTGATTTTGGGTAAGATAAAATGGATTATCTGAATCCATCAAATTTCTTCTCAGAAGTTTCTAACCTGGACCCTGGTTCACATAGACAGGGCCCGTAAATGTTTTATCCTGGAGCCCCTACCTGCCCTGAGGAACTTTCCAGGGGATACTGTCCTTTCTTCAGCTGAGCAGTTGCCTGTAGAGATAAATCCTTGCTCTCCTCTAAACATGAGGTATAATTGAAAAATACAGTGAATGTTAAATTTTTAAACATTTTATGACAATAAGAGACACATCACCATAATGCCCCTCATAATACTCCTCACTTTAAACACACTTATTCCTTCATTCTAGGTACTTTCTGAAGTAATACTGGAATCCTCTTTCTGAAGTAACTGTGGAATCCTCTTTTTGTTTTGTTTCTTTGAGACAGGGTCTCACTATGTAGTCCAGGCTGACCTTGAACTTGCTATGTAGCCCAGGCTGGCCTTGAACTCACAGTGATCCTCCTGCCTCAGCCTTCCAAGTGCTGGGATTACAGGGGTGAGCCACCACGCCCAGCCTTGGAATCCTCTTTTTATGTCTTTAATTGTGCTGTCCTGGCTTTCTTGACATCCTCAGTCAATTCCAAACGTTCACCTTGCATGGCTGTTTTGACTGTGGGGAAGAACTAGAAGTTAGTTGCACAGGGCCAGATCCGGAGATAAGGATACACGTTAGTGACTTTTTGTTGGGCGGCACTGGGCAGCAGCACTGACTGTGTTTTTTTAATCACATCTCATAAAGACACTCATTTTATCTTTTTGTTTGCTTGTTTGTTTGTTTTTCTTGTACCGGGAATCGAACTCACGACCTCACGCTTACCAGGCAGGCACTGTGCCACTGAGCTAAATCCCCAGCCCACATAAAGACACTCATGAAAGAAAACTTCTACAACAGCTTCATAAAGTGCCAAAGGTTGGGCACCGTGCCTGTAACGTCAGCATTTGGGAGGCTGAAGCACAAGGATTATCGGAGCTTGAGACCAACCTGGGCTATCTAGTGAGTTCAAAGCCATCCTGAGCTATAATACATAGTGAGACCCTGCCTCAAAAAATCAAAAAATAAAAACAAAAAAAAAGGAAGAAAGAGAAAGAAAAAATGTGGCAAGAATGATGGGATAAGTGTGTTCAAAGCAAGAGGGAGTAATTTAAGGGTGCCTAATAATAATGCGGCCGTTACTATAATAAATTTTTTAAACTGAACAATGCACTGTACTTTTGCTCACTCCTTGTCCTCTCCCTGGTGTTGCAAAGGCCCCACATGACTCTAGGAGGGGTCTCAGATGTGAGGCTGGAACCCTCAGGAGGAAGCACTCTTGGTTTGGTACTCTGTCTTCTCCTGAATCTGGCCCTGCAGTGGACTTGGGGTGAGTCCCCCCTCTAACTGCCACACTGGCTGGTCCATCCAGTTGGCTCCCAGGTGGACAGGATACCCAGTCCTGTTACCTGCCCCTGCTGCCCACCAGCCCTACCACACCTTGGCCAGTTGTTGCCTGGGCAGGGACCCACCTCATGTTCTGACATGCTCACTGAGCACTGGATGCCGGTGTCCACCGGGTTCCGCTCCACGAACTGCGCGGCCAGCTCCGGGTTGGGGGGGATGTCAACGTTCAGGTCAGCCGGGCGGTCCGAGAAGTTACACTGCTTCCCAAACTCACTGCGCTTCTTAAGGTACACGTACACAATCTCCATGGTGACAGCTGCTGCGGGGCAGAGGTAGTGTGTGGGCTGACAGGCCCACCTGGCCCTGTCCTCTCTCTGCAGGTCTCATTGGGGCGGCTCTAGGTTTTGAGGGTAGGGAGTTCTAGGGGATTTGTCCAGAAGGTGCATCGCTACTTTAAAAATTCATCTGAGTGTGGATGATGTGCTAAGCATAAAATTACCTTGCTTGCCTCCTGCACTTGCCCTGTGGGGTGGGCAATACAATCACCATTTTACTAAAGGAATTTGATACTCAGAGGTACCCTAAGTGACTCATTCAGTATCGTGGAGCTGGTAAGTGGTCTGCCTGACTCCGGAGCGCTTGTCCATCCGATACAGTTTCTGCTGCATCAGTGTTTCTTGGGAGGCAGGAAGAAATATTGAATGCAATTATGTTGGGCTGAGCTCCCCACTACACTCCGATCTGAGCCACACAGAACGCAGAGGAGAAGCCGCAGGCCTCTTCCGGAATCCCGCACCCAACCACTCGGTTGTCCTAAAGGCCCGTCCGTGCCAGAGTTCTGGGCTCCCCAGCTCCACCCCCCATCACTCTCTGCAGAGCCCTCTAGGAATCCCTCCTCACTGTCTCACTATGTCAGACAAAGAAAGCCACCCTGAGAAGGGACAAAGCTGGGCGGCTTCCTCAGCTGGCACAATAGCCAGGCCTTTAGGAGAATCTCTGCTTTGTGCCACTGGCCTTGAAAAGCAGGAATTGGAAAGCAGACTGGGCAGGGCCTGACCTGGAGTCCCTGACCTGGAGTTCTAGCCCTGCCCTCCCCAGCTGCAAGACCTTGGCTGGTCCACTCGGTCCTTCTAAGAGCTGACCCATCCACAGATGCCCAGAGGTGGAGCGAAATGCTCCGGCAGCTGCAGAGCTGGTGCTCAAATACAGCGCTCAGTTTACAAATGCAAACTGCCCTTCACTCGTCCCAAAGGAGACCTTGATCCTCTGAGCCCCCGTGACATCCACAGGTGGAGGGAGAGGAGCACAAACCACAGCTGTGTTTACTCCACACGGACCAAGAGGGGGCCTCAAATTCATTTCCGTCCTCCACCTCTCTCACCACACCGAGAAGCACCTGTGCCTCCTGGGCTGGGCTGCTCCCCACCGTCCCCCTGACAGTGCTGTGACAGCCCGCTGACTCCTAGGCCAGTGGAGGAGGCTAAGGAGATTGAGGAAACTCCAGGAAGTCAAAACAGCTTCTCTAGCCCAGATCAGAGTTTTAACAGCTTTGCTCTGCTCTCTCCTTAGTGGTTCCCAAGGCCAAGCCCTGAGTGAGAACAGAGGCATTGTCTTGTGTCTGGAGCCAGACAGAGGGGACATTATGGTGGCCTGGTGACGGAAGACAGCTCATTCAAGGACCCAGAGTAGGCTCTTTTCTCACAAGCTGGCGGGCCTCAGGGATGAATGGCGAGGTCAGCCGAAGGGGTCTCAGGAGTGCTACAGGGTGCGCTTCTCCGGCAGGGCCTGAGCAGGGGTCTGCCCAGGGTGGGGGAGGGCAGAACAGTTTCACTGCTGCCTGGGAGTTTTTCAGGGATCGCCCTCCCCATGGCAACCTAGAGACCTTGAGGCGTGCAGAGCATGGCGGTTAACATCAAACAACAACGGACACAGAGAATAGGGTGCTGCAGCTAGGCGCTGTGGCGCGGACCTGTAATCCCAGCTCTCGGGAGACTCAGGCAGGGGGACCCAGTTTGGGGCCAGCCTGGGCTACACGGTGAGTTCAAGGCCAGTCTACACTACATAGCAAGACCCTGTCTCAAAATTAAAAATAAATAAATAAAATAGCTGTGAAAGTCCTAGGTTCAATCCCACTTATGGAGAAAAAGAGATTTCTGAGCTTGTTTCAAGGAGGAAGTGTACGGGATTTGGAGGAACTAAATCAAAGCTTTCATCTTGACTGTGAAACCTCAATGGGCACAATAACGCCAGCTCCCAGGTAAGGAAAAACTGAAAAGGATGCATTTAAAGTACACGTCCCAAGGCTGGGGATTTACATCGGCGGCACAGCGCCTGCCTGGCAAGCGCGAGGTCGTGAGTTCGATCCCCGGTACCGGGGGGAAAAAAAAAGTACACGTCCCGAACTGGTTCTGATCCAAAGCTCCTTGAAGAGGTCCACACCCCAGCCCTTCAGAGATCCCCCTCCCTCAGTCTGCACAGTGATGGGGTTAGGGGTGCGGGGGCCAAGGTGTTCAGAGGTTGCAGGGTCCTGTGACTTAGGGAGTTTCCAGGGCAGCCAGGACCAACGTGGTAGAGGACACTGAGACTACTGATCCCGCGTCCGCCACCCCTCAGAGCCATCCCCAAAGAAAGCCCTTAGGAGTTCTTGCACTGCTGGTGGTTTTTACCCTCGGGGTCTCTCCCCTCCTCTCTCCACTCTCTTCAAGCGTGGACGACCTCCTGGCGCCTGCCCCTTATCCTGGGTCAGCTCCTCCTGCCGCTCCAAGCCAATCCCCCGGCTCCAGAGCTCCTCAAACTGCGGGGAACTGCACAGTTGACCGGTTGCCTAGCAACCCCGCGGGGGGGGCTGGACGCAGGCTGCGGGAGGGCAACCCGGAGCACGTGACTTTGTCCTGTAACTCTGAATCGTAACAGTCCCTTCCCCCTCTACTGGAGGTCTGTGGAGGGGGAGGAAAGTTAACCAAGTTAGTGAAATACCGGTAGTGGTGAGTATTTGCAGGAGCTTTGCCAGAGGGCTTATCCACGTCTACAAGCATGTATCCGGCAAGGTCCCGGGACAATGCAAGAAAAGCAATGCTTGGGAATCCCTGAGTCCTGGCGGGGGAGGCAAGCTCTGCAGCCTGCTTTGACGTTGGCAGGCCATTTTGCTACTTCGTGCAATCGCCTCCGCCCCATATTCTCCAAGTGGTGTGTAAGAAACGGCCAGCCTAGCCGCCAGGACAGAAACTCCGTGAGTGCAGGAGTTGGATTTTTCTAGAGCTTAGCTGCATGATTAGCACGTTGCAAACATGTATTCAGGTATTCGTTGAATAAATGCATCAGTGAATGAGATATTACTTCTCACCAGGGTAAGCCAATCGAGTGAGATAATCCAAGCTAAACGAAGAGAATTTGGGGTTAGAAAAGCCCGTCTAAGGTCCCAGATAGCTTCTCCAGGAAAAGTCCAGAATGCTTTTTGGAGCCGTGAGCCCGATTGGTGTTTACTTATCATATGACCTTGGGCAACTTATTTTCCTTTTCCAAGACTCAACATTCTGCATCTGCAAAGTGAGGGGACAGTGGCAGCTCTTAGAGGATACCTGGGAGGGACTGAGCCCACGGGAAGGCAGAGCCGGAAGGCCAGCTCTGCACTTAGCACACAGTGGGGCGGACACTGAAGCAGGCAAGAAATGAGATTTGGACTGGAGCAGGCAAGGAATGAATCATCCAAGAAGTGGGATTTGGGCTTGGAACCGGGCCCTGGAAAAGGGATATGAACTGCAGGGGAAGGAGTGGGGGGAACATTCCAGATGGGAGGGGCTGTAGGCAATAGTGGGTCTGGCGGGTGGCAATCTGCCCACCCCACCAGCTCTGGGAAGTGACCACTCTCTGATGACGTATTATTCTCTGAGTGGAGAAGTGTGGGTGGGGTAATAAGAAAAGCAAAATGGGAAAAGTTGAGTGGAAACTGCAGCCTTCTTTCGCTTATGTTTCGGCGATTTATTACAAGCTCCCCACCCTCACTCAGAAGAGTGCTGCCAACTACCGCCAGAAACTGCTTTCTGGTAACCTCCTGGCGGCCCGGATCAGCCACTCAGGCAAGCCAGCGTGGGGTCATACAACAAAGGTTCACAAGGGCATCATAGGAAAAATAATGCACTATCTCTCCGCTCTCCACCCAGTCACAGCATAACTGGCAACAGGAACCCTTTGCTGAGATCAGCCCCATCCCTGGATATCCCCTAGCCTGCGTCACAAACCACAGAACTTCTTCTTCCATTTTATTAAAATTATTGTAAACTAAATATAGCAAAAGTTTTTGCTTATTTTTGAATTGGGTTCTTTTTGGTTGTTGTCTTAGGAGTTGTCCATGTATTATGAATATTAATACCATAGCAGATTTTAAATATCTCCTCCTTTTCTGTGGGTTGCTTTCTCTCTCTCTCTCTCTCTTTCTTTTTTTTTTTTTTTTGGTATTTTTGAGACAGGGTCTCGCTATATAGTTCAGGATGGACTTGAGCTTACTTTGTAGCCCAGGTTGGCCTCAAACTCCCAACGATCCTCCTGCCTCAGCCTCCCAAGCGCTGGGATTACAGGCATGCGCCACCATGCCCAGCTTACTCTCTTGATAGTATCTTTTTAAAAAGCTTTTCTTGAGACAAAATCTCGCTATGTAGTGCAGGCTGGCCTTGAACTCACTGAATAGCCCAGGCTGGTCTTGAATTCATGGAGATACTCCTACCTGGGATTACAGCTGTGCACTACCATGCCCAGACTTTGATAGGATCTTTTGATGCATACATTTTAAAAATTTTCATAAAGTCCAGTTTGTCTCCTTTTTCTTTTGTTACCTGTGTCTTCCATGTCATATCCAACAAATCTTTCCCAAATCCAATGTTGCAGAAATGTTTCCCTAAGAAAAAAAAGTTTCCCTATGTTTTCTTCTAAGAGTTTCATAATTGCATATCTTACATTTAAGTCATGAATCCACTTTGAGTTAATTTTTGTGCATTATGTTAGATAAGGTCCAACTTACCTGACATAATGCACAAGTGGATATTCAGTTTTCCCAGCATCATTTGTTAAAAAGACCGTTCTTCTGGGGCTGGGTATGTAGCTCAGTGGTAGAGCACATACCAGCGTATGTGAAGCCATGATGTCCCAGCATTGAAAAAAACAGAAAAAGACTGCCTTTCTCCAAAAAGAAAAAAAAAAGTGGTGAGTTACCCTTATTTTTTTTTTTAATTTTAAAGAGTAAAAGAAGGATAACATAATAATAGGGGGGGCTTACCAAATTACAGAAAAAGTGGTAGGAAATTATCAATGGTTATTGTTTTACACATTGTTATCTATAAGATAGTTTCTCAGGAAAACAAGTAGACAAATAATAGTGAGTTACAGACAAAAGAGGTAGGAGATTATCAATAGTTGTTGTAGAGTTACCCTTATTGAAGGCAGAAATCTACATACATTATCTGAAATTCATCTACATACAGACATAACTCTCCATGGCATGGAGTGGGCAATATAAAAACATTTGGTAGACACCACCTGCTCTCCCCAACCATGCTTAAAGCAAGCTGTATCCTGATTTGCAGGAATAAGGTGTGTGCGGCACTTCCCGCAGGATGGCTGCTGTGTGGCCTCATCGACAGATCCACCCACATCCTAGTCACCTTGGAGAATGGAACTCTTGCTGCACTCACCATTGTCCTTGGAATGCTTGCCACAGCCTTTGGCTTGTAAAAGCTTCCTGTGAAGCATCTGTCACAGCCCTGGAGAGACCACCTACTCCACATTTTGGCACCAGTTAAGTAGTGTCAATTGCTCTCTCGCTGGCATAGATCAGCCCTCCCCCTGTCAGCTCAGGGCAAGACTCCCTCTCCTTCCCTATAGCCCCACTGTCATCCATGCAGATGGCTCCTCTGCCCTCTGTTTAAGGCTCTTAACCATGTAATATTTGAGCCGGGCGTGGTGGTGCACGCCTATAATCCCAGCACTTGGGAGGCTGAGGCAGGAGGATCGTTGTGAGTTCGAGACCAGCCTGGGCTACAAAGTGAGCTTAAGCCCAGCCTGAACTGCATAGCAAGTTCCTGTCTCAAAAAGGAAACAAACAAACAAACAAAAAAAGCCACCATGTAATATTTGAGTACCCAACTCAGGTGTTCCGCCGGAGGGACATATGTCACTTGACTGGGGTCCATACAGGTGGGGCTTTTCTTGGGGAATCGGGGATCCCAGAATAAAAAGTCATTCACAGTTTGTGTCCAAACAAGACAAAAGAAGAGAGTGGAAGAAGGAGGGGGAGCCATATTCGAGTGTATCTCTGGAGCCCACTGGGAAAGGCGATTTTGAGAAGGTAGAAAGTCTCTTAAGGCATTTCAGAAGATGCCAAATCCTTTTACCTCCCAGGTGGCCTGGACTACTCATCTGCGACAAGGCAGCCATATTCTACCTGACAGGCTACTGCTAGATGTCACATTAGCTGGGAATGGTGGAGATGGGTGACTGGCAAGGAATGACATAGCAGGTGTAGTCAGGTTGTCTTCCTCTCTCTCTCTCTCTTTTTTTTTTTTCCAGTACCAGGAATCAAACTCATGACCTTGTGCTTGCCAGGCAGGTGCTGTGCCACTGAGCTAAATCCCCAGCCCCTTGTCTTCCTCTCTACCTAGACCTGGAGAGGCCGGCTGGAGGTGGAGTCAAAGTTAAGGCTCCAGTCCTCACAGGACACTCAGAGTGTGAGAGAGGGAGTCCAGGGAGAGGCTACGCTAGCTGCTCATCTGTCAAGCACATACTTCCGTCTTCCCTCTGGTCAGCTCTTCTTCCCTCCCTCTTTCACGAGAAGAAAACCACCGTCTTCCTTGAAAGACCAGCAAGGCGAAGACCTCACAGCTGCCTGATCCAGTGGCAGCGACCCTGTTCTCCCACTACCTGGGCTGCACTGGGTGGTGTGGGTCATGGGAGCCCATTGCCCATCCCCGCTCCCCCACCTTGCCTCAGTCCCACCACTTTGTTCTCTCTGGGCTTTCTCTTCTGTGAGCTCCCTCAGTACTGGGACGCTTACTGGACTCTTCCCAGCCTTTTTGCACAGCTCTGCCTCTCTCCATAGCACTAGCGACTGCATGCGTGCCTGTCCCTCAGATCTAGGTCCCCGGGCCTCTTTATCAGTGCTGGTCCTCACTTAACCTGCCTGCCCAGCCTTGCCATTCAGATGTCGCAAACACCGGTAACCCAACCTACCAGGAAGAAGGTCTTCACCTCCCCATGTGGCCTTTCTCCATTATCCCATGGTCCCCGCCTATCACCTACGCCTTAGGGATGACCCTTGACTGATTCCTATGAAACACAGAGACAGGCGTGTGTAACGACCATGACCCTGAATGCCACCTGTCAGTCATGTGTTCTGGAGGCATTTGTTGAGCATTGCTATTTATGCTGAGTGAGCCTGGGAAGGCTTTTTGTCTTGTGCTTGCCAAAGACATCCAGCTGAGCTGACAGACCGCTGCCAGGCAGGAAGACAGCACTTCCTTAGTGGAGTGTGAGGCTAACATTCTTGTCTACCCACACAAATCAGTGGTTGAAAAGGGAGCAGATTTTTAAAGAATGATAGGAGTATGTTCTACTTATAGAAAAAGCCATTGTAGAACAGTACGTGTAGTGTGGTTATCTTTCTACAAATACTTTAGAACCAAACTTGGAAAATGCACATCAAACTGTTCATGGAGTTTTGTTCTGGGTTGAGGATTAGGGGGAATTTTTCTCACACATTTTTTTTCCCTATGGAATGCTTGCATTACACATTTTTCTTGTATCAGGAAAAAAAAGATTAAAGCAAACAGACAATAGGCTGGGGGTGTAGCTCAGCAGTGGTGTGCTTGCCTCACCTGCTCTAGACCTTGTGTTCCATCTTTAGCATTGCAAAAACAAAAGAAAAAAACCCAGACCAGCCAAAACAGGAAGCGCAAGACTCCAGCAATCTTGTCTATACAAGGCTTTGAACTTATATGTAAGCAAATCAATGTTGATTATGTTACTGGCTTATTTGTAAAGTCCTCAAACTCCAAGACTACGCTTGCCTTAGATAATTCTGTTGTCCCAGAATTTAGAGAAAGTGAGGGGTCACCAAACTGTACACTCCCGTAAAGATAGCAAATGTCTTAGGCTTTGCAGTTCAAGAGGCAAAATCAAGGATACCACATAGGTATTTCTATGACCAAAGAGAAAGCCAATTTCCACATTTTTTGATGGGTAAAATTAAAAGTATAGTTGATTATAGTTTTTTGTGATGCAGGTTTACTAACAAGAACTGTGGAATTCCTTCTGGGGGAGGATAACATTTTGCTTAATTGCAGTTCAAAGGCATTGTCTCTACCATCAAAATTAGTTGCAAATCTCTCTTTTTAACCATTTTTTTTGTGTGTGTGTCTTTCTGAGACAGGGTCTCCCTATGCAGTTCAGCTGGCCTTGAGCTCACTTTGTAGCCTAGGCTGACCTCCAAATCTCTATGATCCTCCTGCCTCAGCCTCCCGAGTGCTGGGATTACAGGCATGCTCCACCACACCCAGCCCTTTTTAACCATTTAAAAAGGTAAAAATTAGGGCTTGAGGGGGTGTTAGGGATATAGCTCAGTGGCACAACGCCTGCCTGGCAATCTTGAGGTCGTGAGTTCAATTCCCAGTACAAAAGAAAAACCCACCAAAAATTAGGACAGGGGGTATAGCTCAGTGGTACAGTGTTTGCCTACCATGTATCAGGCCCTGGGTTCAATACCAAGGAGAGAGGGAGAGAAAGATCACTGTGTGTTCAAGGGCAGCCTGAGCTACAAAGTGAGTTCAAGACCTGCCTGAACCGCATAGTGAGACCCTATTTCTCAGAAAGAAAGAAAGAAAAAAAGAAAAGAAGAAAGAAAGAAAGAAAAGACAAAAGAAAGAAAGAAAGAAAGAAAGAAGCAAGCAGGGTGTGGTGGTGTATGCTTGTGATCTCAGCACTCTGGAAGGCTGAGGCAGGAGGATTGCAAGTTTGAGCCTAGCCTGGGCAACTTAGTTACTTAGTGAGA